TGTGACATCTTTGATTCACTCAAAGTTTGCTGCTGTCATTGATTATTTTCCTTATTGTAAGAAGGATAATGCAGAGGTTGATTGATATAAATGAACGTTATGCAAATGTTGACTTTGAACATTTTACTTTTTTCTTTGGTAAAGTGTAGGGTGGATGAGTTGTCAGTTCAGGACAGATTGTCATGATGATTTATGTGTGTTGTTAAAGGTGAGATGCATGCTGTTTTGATAGTTTGTCACGATTTTATCTGCTACTGTACTGCTACTTTACCCTGCATCACATGAACAACAGAAAACACACAATCTGCATCAAAAGGAAAAATCTCAATCAGACTGAAAGAAGATTTTAAGTAGTTTTTTTTTTTTTTTTTTTCCAAAACTAGTGTGTTTTAGTGGTTGTTATAGGGCATAACTATACTTTTACTTTGGAAAACCACAGGGAAACTCTCATATTATTAATATTATACTAAATACTATATATCAGTATTATTATTATTAATATTCGGGGTCAGTACGATTTTTGTGTTCACCAAGGCAGCATTTATTTGATCAAAAATACAGTTAAAAACAGTAATAATGTGACAATTAAGCAGATTTTTTCTGTAATAGTGAGTATTCAATGAATTTTTTTTTTTTTTCAAAGATGTCTAAATTACTACTTTCAATCCTCTGATTGTATCAAAATGATCCCTTCCATGATTTTAGGCGTCACTCGTTGACAGTGGCACATGCTTGGTTTCATTTAGGCCCTTGGTGAAAGTTGCCCACTCGTTGTTCTCTCTCAAGCTCTCGTGGTGAGGACATATTAATGCTGTTATTCGTGTGTATCCATGCCAGGCTTCAGATTAAATGGACTCCATATGTGAAACATCTTGAGCGCAGGAGGCTTCTCTCAAATGACCTTATTCTTCAGGAGTAATGCACTGTATATCCCTCACAGACGTCAGCAGGGTTAATACAAACCCTTCGCTCGCTTTTACAGCGCTTACGCACATGGCATCCGGAGCTCATTGTTGGATGTGGTCACTTTATTTGTAGATGCTCACTGGAACTCAGTGATTAACTCATTAATTATACTCTAGGGATCGGATTTATTGAAGCGTTAGCATTCACGCTAATCTATGCATGTGGTATTTCTGCCACATGACCAGTCTTAACCGCAGTAATTAATTGGCTGTCTTAGTCAAACCACACTTGCTGAATGTTTTGTTTCAATCAGGCCTGTTTTCTTGATAAATGTTCAGATTGTTTAGTCAGTTGCTCATCATCTGGTTGTTTTGATGCCTTTAAATGACAATGGTTTGCCTTAAGATATTATTGTGATTTAAAAAGTTGTTGGGGATAATGTGAGGCCAGAACAATACACAAGTTTATGAATAGAGGCACTTCTAGTAATCTCGATTCACATACCACTGCGTTTCTGACTGTCAGAGTGCAGTTCATAATGCAACGCCAGGACATTTTGCATTGTCAGCATTGCCACAGTTTTTTTTACCAGTTAAAAAAAACAACACATTACAAAGGAAGTCCACAGGGCCAAGATGTAAGCATTACATTTCCAGTTTCAAGAGTAGCGACAGGATAAACATCACATTATACATGTTATAATGAGACTAGTGTGATAAATTACACTACCATTCAAAATGTGGTTGTACTTTATGCTCACCAAAGCTGCATTTATTTAATCAAAAATACAGTAAAAACAGTGCTGTTGTGAAATATTATTGCAATTGGAAATAATTGTTTATATTTTAATATATTTTAAAATGTATTTTATTCCTATGATGGCTGAAGCTGAATTTTCAGCATCATTACTCCAGTCTTCAGTGTCACATGATCCTTCAGAAATCATTCTAATAAGCTGATTTGCTGATCATTGGAAAACATGATTTTTTAAAGATTTTTTTATTAATAGAATGTTCAAACGAACAGCATTTATAAGAAGTATTTGTAACATTATAAATGCCTTCACTGTCACTTTAATGCCGCGATTTATTCCTTGCTGAATAAAAGTATTTGATGTAGAATTTACTTTAATTTTCACTAGAAATTGTGAAATTGTTAATTTCACAAATAATTGCAAAGAAACAAGTAACACATTTAAATAAACATTCTATTTTTAAGTAAAAAAGACTGAAATAGTACTTTCTTATAAAATGTATTCCAATAATATTTGCTTTGTTTAACCTCAAAAAATCGTGTATTATTACTTTCTTTAAAAAAAAAAAAAATTCCCCCAAATTTTGGAACGGTACTATTTATTGAGTCTTTCAGCTGCATCACAATAGATAAAACTGGTCAATTTTGAAATGTCAAATAAACTGTGGACCCCATTGACTTTAATTATATGGACAGAAAAACATTCTTCAAAATGATGACAGAAGTTTAATTAATCCTTTAACTATTGAATTCGGAACTTGTTTAAGTTTGTTAAACAAATTCATGCTTGCTATGCATTGATCATGCACAATGCTGGGTAATAACTGATTACATGTAATCTGTATTACGTAATCAGATTCCAAAAATTTAGTAGTTGTATTACGTGATGTTGATAATAAAGAATGGGATACATTTGATTTCTCTTTTATAACAATAATCCCATTCAAATTTATAAACAAGTTACAGATCATAAGTAATCTAAAAGTAATCCAAAAGTAATCAGAATACATTAACTAAAATGAGTAATCTAAATTACATTACTGACTACAATTTTTCCTCATGTAACTTGAGTAACAGACTACAATTTGTGAGTAATCTACCCAGGACTGATAATGCATTTGCATACTTGTATACAGTATGTATCTGAGATTTCTGGTGTTGTGTGGAGTTGTGTAATACAGATCCGTGAGTAGAGTTTGAACTGGAAGCCAGATGAACTTGTCAGTGCAACATTTCCCAAGGTCAATAAATGTTCATTTAGACAACATCTCATTCTTTCTTCATGCAATGTTTTGCCGTCTTTGTGAAATAGCTGAGGCCTGATGGGAGACTCCAGCCTGAGCGTCGCATGGAAATCTGCTCCACGATTTAGCGGTGTCTCAACCTCAGGGGAAGTGGTTTACTTTGCTTGGCTCCTGTTGAGCTTTGACTGGATGCTGGCCAGCAAGGGGGGTAAAGTTTGCCTCTCGGGTTGCCCCTGCAAACACAGCCCTGGCTTTGATTTCATAGCTCCTTCTCGTTAGCCCTATTGGGGATCAAATGGAGGTGGTGGTTGGGGGTCCGTGATTTGTGATCTCTCAATAAATATAAATGCTGATACCACCTTGGAAAAGCCTTGTGTCTACTAAAAGATCAAAGTTAATGCTCACTGTGAGAGTGGTGGAGTCATTCAAACTGATGGATGCATTGCAGACCCTTTCTGCAGGATTTGTAGCAATTTCTCTCAGCATTAGGCCATTTCCATGTTGTCTTGTCAAGTCTTTGTACAGTCTTTATTCTTTATTGTCACTGGTAGGCTATATTTTCAACTTGTTAAATTATACCA